ATATGAAATTAATATGTAAATTATCGAAATATACTTATTTAAAAATGAGGTATTTAATCGCAAAATTATTGTTGATCAGTCATTTTTGCTAGGTGAGTGTACAATAATTATTCAGGCAAGATAAATTAGTATCTGAATTCTGAAACAAGTTGTTCTGTCTTTGTCTTTCCAGCTGCGTATAATAGATGCTATCAGAATTACATTCTTACCCTTCTAGTTTTTTATAGTAGGTTTATTATATTTCTCAAAATTTATAAATACTGCTATTAGAAGTGATATTATTCCCTACCTTTTGAATAATATATCTTCTACAATTTTTATAGATTTGTTTACCAAACCTGCATTAGTTCATAGGTTTGAAGTTAGTATAATATGAGCTCCTTTTGCAAGGAATATTTGTACTTTAAGTCCCTTTGAAATTTCTGAACTAATACACATAATTTCTCTTCCTTCACTATGTACTATGCATATTTTTACTTTTGGTTTATTCAACCTTTTGAGCATCTCATTATTTACCTTATCTACTTTAATCTATTTTATTAGTAGAAATACAGCATCTTGAAAACTGTTATGTTCTGTCTCATTTAAGTTTTCTTTGAATTGTGTTATAAGGGTAATCTAATCATTTAACATCCTTTCCCTTCTTGTAATCTTAATAGTATATCTCTCTGAAATCCTGTTGCTTATTTTTAGATACCGTTAAACTATGTCCAGTTTGTATACCTCTTTAAATTGCTTGTATATTACTATTTCACTGTTTGATGAATCATCATATAATAGATTATTAACATACATAGATACGTCACATACTGGTAGAAGTTGTCTAAAGTCACCAAATAAGATTATAGAACATTCGCCAAATGGTTTTTTTTAGAAATGCTTATCTTAGTCTTATGTTTATTAACTTAGGCATTCTTCTCCCTACCATACTCTTCTCAAGTATCTTACGTTTTATAATCTTTTCTAAAATTATTTTAGACATAAGTTGTTCAGATCATAATTTTCTTATCTTTATCAACATATATAAGCAAAAATCTTTCTAATAAGAAATTATTACTTATAGTTAATTTTTACATAATCTCTTGTATTAACTTTATTTTAACTTTAGTAAAATAGAGATTAAAAATCATCACGAAAATCCGATCAATTAATATTCATCAATCCAAAGTGCCATTCATGTGCAGGTTCCAGACTCGAATCAAGTCCTAATAAAGTCATGTTTGGGACTTTACATCGTTATTATCTTTCTGGACCATATGAATATTTTTAGCTGAAATGTAAATATTCCAAATAACAAGCACGTTCATGCACTCCTACATGCTGGAAATTTGAGAATAAATGCCCTCCGGTTTTCATTTTTTTGATGATAGGCGTTACAAATTGTAACGTGCACATGGATTAATTTCAACGATCCACAGCCTAAGGATTGAATTCGGAATTTTTTGCGAATACGTATGATTTCGGCGTAATTGTTTCGAATTATGGAATCTGTAAAGAGATACTAAGTAAAAAGTTATTAAAATGTAGTTGCGGTAATGATAAGATCAAAGGTTCACATACGCTTATCTTTAATTATCCTCATAACGCCATGAATATTTCAGCAGAAATTCATAACGAAATCGTTATATTCCGAATATCAGCTGAAAGGCAAAATTATCAACAACACGTGAAAAATTATTTATTAAGAGTGTTTTAATAAAAAATTATTTGACTACAGTATTAGAAAATACATCTGAAAATAATGGATTATTTCTAATTAAATCAATAGCCTTTCTCGCTTTATGTCTTAGTATATCTTCCTCACTCATCTCCTCATAAAAATCCTAAATTAATATGCAATCATAAATAATAATCTCTTTAATAAGCATTAATAATCTAAATTAATTTACCTCTAATGGTGCAATATCATCAACTTGCGTATAAGCATTATCATAAATCTTTATACGTTGCCCTCCAGGCAAACCCGGCACACGCATCATCTTAACCATCCTACTAATAATATCCAACGCCTTTTTACGATGCGATAATTTGACCATCATGATTTTTCTCCCCCCTTCTAACCAAAAAAGGTGCCAGCGTTCGTTCAGGTCTGTTAATACACCGATAACCTTAATCTCTTCGTTCGTCAAAAAGTCGGCTGCGACCATTTCTGCAATAGCTTGCCATATGTTTTGCTCCTGCGGCACTTTCTTTAACTCTATGGTAGCCCGAGTTTCAGCTTTAGCAATTAAGTTATCAATATACTTCTGCTCCACCACCACATAGTCAGTTCCGCCTTTGATCTTGAATGGAAAAGGAGAATTTTCGGTAGTAATGTCGAGAAAACTTTTGTGGTTTGCAACGTTAAAGACAACATAATCTTTTGGAAGGTTTGGTTTTAGATGTTGGTTTAAGTATTGAGATATCAATTCCAATTGGTTTGGGTCACTTTCAGTGTAATCATTCCATTCGTAGGGTTCTATATCATTCTTTGGCAATGGTCCGGTAAATTCCACAGCACTTAGGTTAAAATTAATGTGCTTAAGAAAGCTATCGAAGTTCTCTTTATTAATAGTCGAATATGCAACCGTTTTTTTTTCTTCCGTTATACATTGATATATCTTTGACATAGATTCCAGCTGTTTATCCATAAATTCATGCTGTTTATCCATCTTGGCGTTGATTTCAGCGAGGGAAGAAGTCTGGGCGACTAGCATAGGCGGAAAGAGTCGAAGTGAAGATAAAAGATGTTAGTAATGGAAAAAGAAATGACAGTGAGAAAAGTAGTGTAGGTTTGGATGCAGTCGTGGTACTTACCAGTTGCATCTATGATAGCGTGAAAAGTGTTTTTGACAGGAAGGAAAAGCACAAGAGTAAGTATTCGGTATTGATACACCCTACACTATGCACACACTACTCAATGTCCCAACGCCCGAGTCACAAAGTCGTTACCTGTTTGAGTACTAACGGCAACTAAAGCATCTCCCCACTTCTTCTTTTCTTCCAGCCAAAAAGTCTCTTGTTGCACCAAGACGTTCTTTTCCCCTTGGTACTCTTCCTCCCCTCCACGTCTTAAAACTTCTAACCTATCCAACTTCGCGCTAGCCTTATCAAATTCCTGTTTAAACTGAGCGGTGTCCATGTCTGTTTGGTGAAGTGAGATATGCTGCGCGATGTGATCTAATACGCTGATCAGTGGCTTAATCAATGACGTATTGCTAGGAACTTTCTAGATGTTTTCACAGTGTAACTATTGTTCCATAATCGTCCGTAGTGTATGATGAACAAACGGATATAACTTATTCAAAAATCAACCACAACGCAATAAATATTGTTGAGACAATACATCTTTAAAACAATAAAACAAATCTGTCAACTCCCCAATAACACTCCTATGAAAAATGCTTAATTTCCCGAGCGAATTCTTTTTTGAAGTATTTATTGGCTTCGTTCTCGGCCTGTTGCTCAATGGCATAATTTATAATAACCAACTCCACAACATGGGACTATTAACCAAGATCATAAAGTCCAGGAAGTTGTCAAAAATGAAACTGTCGGCGAACAAAATTTATTCGCCAGATATCGAAACGTTGTAGAACGCTTTGAGACAATTATACTATAAACAAATCAAATTAGATTCAAAATTTTTGTTTAACGAAATGGCGTTTGAAATTTCCAAATTGCTGAATAATCAAAAGACCATTGCTGTATCAACAATAAGAGATTTTTACCTTTGACGAACAACTCTGCGGAAAAAGACGATTGAACAACGTTGGATCGATGAAAAATAGAAGGAAAACGTAAACTACTCAGATGAAGAAATAGATAATATTGATAATATTATTAATAACAGTAATAGTATAAAAGATAATGAAATTTAAAATTTGCACCGGAGTGACCAAAGAATAGGTTATACTCATAAATGGCTTTGAGCCCGAGTATTTTCCTCCTATGCAATCACTCTGATGCTTTTAATAATATTTATATTTCAAGAGCGCGCGTTCAATAACATAAACAATAAAATTTATGCTTACGAAAAAATTGAATTATTTTTACATGTTTGACTCTTTATTACAATTGTGTCAAAGCTCAATTGATGCGCTTAAGCAGTCTTTTATCAAGACTATAAGGAACAATCTTTTGTTGATAGATCGTTCGATCAGCGGAGGCCTTTTATGTTAAAATGCTTCTCTTTACCTTCCTTTAAATTTTCGTTTTTTTTCTTGGTTCATCATAAGTTGAGGTTAATGTTCGTTTATTGTTTATTATCTTTCGTTCTTCTTGAGAGATTTCGTAAGTAATTTTTTCTTTATTAAGATATTCTTTGAGAATTTTGGTGTCATTCATTTTAAAAATATAAGGCGCAATTTTTTCTCCTTGAGCTTTTTTTAGAATACTTCTAATGGTGCTGTAATTCTTTAGTTCCATAGTGGATTTAATGTAAATTAGTTTCATATTATATTTTTTATATAGAGGTAGTCCTATATTAATCACATTATGGTTTATATTCATCACATTCTGGTATGATAAAGTGAACATTAAAATTAACCAGTCCATAAGTTATGAATAAGCAGTGTTATTACTTTTCAAAATATCATCAGTCACCCTGGTCAATTTTACAACCATAATCATCCTCTCATTTATGTCATATAATCAAATATTCACTTTGTCTGGTTTTGTTGCAGCATGCGTCATATAAGCTGTTTTGTTTTAACAATAATATATTAGAAGAGATGATTTTACAATATTTTTTAAGATATATGGATTTTTACTTTTTTAATAAAAACTGCTTTAAGTTTCTCAATTCTTAAAGATTGTATATAATATAATAGTAACATATTTATTAGATTATTTTTGTTTTACTACTAAGGTAAATATTATTTAATTTATTAATTTTATTTGTAATTATTTATATTAAGTATTAATTCTTTACCTGATCCAATTGATAATATACAATTTGGTTCTATTTTTTAGTAAAGTTTAGTTTTATTTGTATTAAAAATATCATTTAGTAAATAATCTGCAAGAAAATTTTGAAGATTTTTACACATATTATTTAAAGCTTTTATAGAAGTACTTGCTGATTTCTATGTTTAAAATAACATTCAAATTTATGACATTTTTTAAAATCTACTATCTATCCTTCTAATTCTTTAAAATCTAATTCATTTAATAATATTATAAAATTATTTGCTTTCTGTGTTAATAGTTTACTATTAATAGTAATGTTATTTTCTATTATCTTTTTGATCTTAAAATTTAAAGTCTCTTCAATTTGTGAAAATTTTACATTAATTTATCTTTTAAGTAAAACTTTATAATAATTCAATTTTAATTCTAATTATTACTTTTTTCTTTTAAAATATCATATATAATTCCTTCTAAAATATTATATTTTTGAGCAAGCTTCTTATTCTTAGATTTTAGCTTTTATAAACTCTTTAAACAAATTTTTTTTTTTGAATTCTAGTAAGAAAAGCTCTAATTTTTTTTTATTTCAGAATCCTTTCCTTTATCAATTTTAATTTTTTTATTTTTTAGCATTTTAAATAAAAAATTTATCAAAAAAAATTATAATATCAGAATCATATTCAGTTTGAATATTTAAAATATCATTTTATTTTTTTTAATATAAAATTTTCTTTAATAGTTACATTTGCTACTAAAAAAAATTTGTTATAAACCTTAAAATTTTGACAAAAAATTCATTATATCAAAAACTTCATTTAATAAAATATCATTTTATTATAATTTATATCATATTACTAATCATTATATATAATAATAAATCTTATTAAAAAAATTTATTATATACAACTATTTTATTTAATGATACTGTTTATATAATTTATAGTAACATGAAATTCAAAATACAGAAATTTGTTATAAAGCATTTTGACTGTATTATAAATTTATAAAATTAATTTAAAAAAAAATTTTTTAAATTTTTAATTTTTATAAAAGTAAATCAAAGTAATTTTATAGTCAAGTAGGCAATTTTACTTGTAAATCTTTATTATTTAAAGAATAATATAATAAGAATTATATTTAATTTTTTGAATTGTTTTAATATAAACATTTTTAATTAATAGTTATTATAATTTCTTTTTATATTATACAGTCAACTTTCTATAAATACATTCTCTATAAATGCAAATCCTTTATAAATATGCCTTTTTATTTGATTTCAATTTGAGCCTTAGTATTAAATACATATTTTTTATATATACTTTTTGTAAATGTATTCTTTATAAAAGATTTTATATTATTTACTTAATTTTTTATATTACCTTAATTTTAGATTAATATTATATAGATTTATATGTATTCTATAAATGTACACCTTTTTTTAAATATATTCTTATACTTAATTCTATAAGGAATGCATTTATAGAGAGTTGATTGTATTAATTAAAATTTTATTATTTATTTTTAAATAATAGAGGCTCAATTATTTTTATATAATAAGTTTTTTTTAAATTTCTATATTATTCTAATTTTTAAACTTATAATTTTATAAATATAATTTTTTTAATTAATTAAATTTATATAAAATAAATTTAATATGAAAAAAGATTTTACTAAGAAAAATATATAAAATATAATATATAAAATATTTTTATTAATAAATACATATATACTTTGCAATAAAAACAGAAAAAAAAACAAATTTTACTTTATATCCTAAATATTAACTCAAAATTTTTTTTTTTTTAGAGTTTTCTTTTTATTACAAAACTTCTATTTTTTAAAATAATTATATTGTTTATTTATTTTATATAATTAATAAATTATCAACATTTTGATAATTTATAAATGTATAATATTAGTATAGAGTATTGAAAAATAATGACAGTTTTAGGTTTTAATCTAAATTTTTCTTGTTGATTGGCCATTTCAAATTAACCGAAATTAATCATCATTAAAATTTAACCAATCCTGATTTTCTTTATACGAGTTATAAGGATAAGATCTTTAAATGGATAGAAGAATTCATTGAAGAAAAGTATTAAGGTAATAGTGACGAGCTCTTTGAGATATACAATAAAAAAGTATTATCAAGCTTGTTTTTGTTTTTTTCTCTACCTTTAATATGAATAAAATTGTATTATATTAATAAATAGGATTTAATGTTATCCTACTTCGATTCAAGGCGTGATTTATTAATGCAATAAATATACTTGCCTCAAATAAAAATGATATTTTCTTTCGTACTTTGATAAAACTCCTAAAATATGACAATCCGTAAATAATACATACCCTGCATTTTTTGTACCTCTATAAATATATGCACATCCGTACATAATAATTAACTTATGCATTGCTAGAACATGTTTATTTTTTAATTATTCTTCTTTCAAATTAATAACAAAAATTATGTCTTCTTCAAATACCATTTCAACGCCACCTATTCGAATAAATATGAACGATTTTAATCAAGTAATAATTGAGACATCGACATCACCACCAGATTTTAAAATACAACTTGCAACCCCAATAAGAAAAAAGGCTTCAAATTTATATCTGAATACTCTATCAAATAACTCACCGTCGAGACCTTTATCTCCATCAAAACTCAATGTATCAAAGTCACCTTCAAGATCTTCTTCACCAACAAATTTAAATGTTCCGTTGATTTATACAAGACCTTCTTCGCCTTCCAGAGAACATCTTAAAAATGCAACGATGAAATATGTAGATGATTTATTACTTATATTTTACGAAGCGTTAGATAATTATCCTATTAATCAAATTATAATATTAATTAAACAACATCTTATGAATAACGACCAAAATGAAGAAAAAATATTTAAATGGCTATTGAATAATGAAAATGATGTAAAGTATAAGACCTTACTTGGATTTTTTTATGAAGCAGGAATTGGAACAGAAGAAAATGAAAGGAAGGCATTTAATTCTTATATATCAGGAGCAAAAATGGGAATTGCGTATTCCCAAACTTTGTTGGGAAATTGCTACATATTGGGAAAAGGAACCGCAATAGATGAAGTGTTGGGATTCAAATGGTATCAAAAGGCTTCAGAAACTGAACTTTGTGTATGTGGATTATGCGGACTTGCGAATTGCTTTGATTTCGGTATTGGAACTGGAATAGATAAGAAAAAGGCTTTCAATTTATAT